TTTTTTGGTTCAGCTGAATGAATTTTAGTTTGCGATAAAATTCGATGATAAAACGTCAAAAATTGTTTGGAAATTTAATATTGTTCATTTATATTAAGGTGTCGAGGTGAGCAATTGTCCTACCACGAAAGAGGCCAAACACGCGTATATATATACGCGGACGAATACAAAATGTTCTTAGTAATTTTTTAAGAAACAAATTAGTATGTGGAAAAACTATGAAAGGCGGTGTCAAGCATGTTCGAAGGGCGACCAATTCCACATTTAAAGAAATATATAATATGATGTCCAGCACGATAATGCTCCCACTCATACTGCAAGGGTGGTAAAAGATTGAATTAAGTCTCAAAAGGCTGATTTGCTTAAATAGTCTTAATATAATGAAAAATATATGGTTGTTATCGCGCAAGATATATAAAAGGGGCACACAATTCGACAGCAAAAAAATTTAATCTCAGCAATTAATGCGTGTTCAGGACTCAAATATTGGAAAATTTGTATACCGTGTGATCCTAGCTATCCATGTGTTTGCAGTTATTTAAAACCAGGAAAGATTCACTATTAAAACATTTTAATTTTTTTGTGTTAAACCTAATCAGGTGATGAGAAAATATCATTATTTGTGTTACTTTTTCAGAAGAAAAATTAACCAGGAATAAATATTACGTTTACGAAAATCATACCTCGGCATCTAATTAATAAACGATTTGAGAATTATAGGAAATTTTTCATGTAAATCGGAATTTTGGTTTAGGAGTTACAGGCCAATTACTACCTCGGTGATCATGAACCTATTCTGTTGAGCCGCAGTGTACGTAGTCGTACGTAAGTACGAGGTGGGTGCAAAGGAAAAGTAGAATTTTGATTTTTGGCGGGCTGTGTACATTCGATGGTCGATATTTTGTTTTTGTTATAATCGGAGCCAATTATAGTTATAATTAGGAGCCAATTTCGATTAGTAGTGTTTTTTTTTCGATTTTTGACTTTGACAGAAATGGATCAAAGAATATGTATTAAATTTTTCGTAAATGGAATAAAGTGCTCCAGACACTTGAAATAAGTGGTCGCCCCGTTGTACAGAAGGGCGAGAAGATTTTGATGACGATGACCATCCTGAGGTGATATGAAATCTTGAAAATCGTCGAATTACTGTTAGGGAAGTTGCATTAGTTTCGCTCAGGCGTTGTTGAATGACGTCAACAACGGTCCGGGCTTGCTCAAACAATTGATTTGGCCCACTGCGACTCTTTCCTATTCCCAAAACTGAAGAAACCAATGAAAGGAAAGCGTTTTGCCAAAATAGATGATATCAAGTCAGAATCGAAGAAACAGCTGATGGCCATACCGAAAAGCGCATTTCAGAAGTGCTTCGAGAATTTTGCAAAGCGAAAAGGGAGCAAAATAGATATTGATGAATAAATAAGTACTTTTAAAAAGAATTCAAAATCCACCTTTTGATTTTATTTACCATATGTTCCGCGGTTATAGCCAAGTTAACTACAGAGCGCCAGTCGCTTCTTCTCTTCGATATTTGGCACCAATTGGAGGTACTAAATGCAACCAGGTCCTTCTCCTCCTGATCTTTCCAACGGATTGGAGGTCTTCCTCAACTTCTACCGTCGGGTACTGAATCGAATGCTTTCAAAGCTGGAGTTTTCTAATTCATCCGATATATGGTATGTTCACATATGTTTAATTATACATTGACCGAATTATATATAGGGAAAATATAAATTACAAAAAATGGCACTGCTGCTCGATCTACCGCTATTTACTCTCTGGAAAAGATTCTCAATTCAAACATTTTATATACAATATTCTAATACGCGACAGACAAACTTACTATCGGTGGGTGATTTAATTATTGTTTTCGGAAAGGAATTGGCGTAGTAAAATAGCGCTTGGGTGTGGAATAAAATATTATAATTGTAAAAAACTGGTCTTTCGAAGAAGGCTGTCACATAGAGATCTCACAGAGTTCTACAATACTGATTCGATACCGAATCACAGAAACAACGTCCCCATCTGGTGTAGAAAAAAGTGCATCTGTCTAGAACTAATATTTCCATACTCTTTCGGTTTGGGTCGTACGACTTCTTTCGGTCTACAAACTTGAAAAACACCTCTCCGGAAAAGAATTTATGTCGAATGACATTGTCACCGTTACGGGGGTCTAAATTTAAGACTTCCATAAAACGTATTTTTCAGAAACCTCATAGAGTGTGAAATGGTTATGTTGAAATAGCTCAGGAATTCTACTTATCACCATTATATCCAATATAGAGATTTACCACTTTACATATTGTACTTTGATCTTTTACTGATCTCCGCTTCTCTGGTACCTAATATATTAAATCTCGGACCATTCGTATATCTCAATGGAAAATGTTTTAACCAAATTAAAAAAAAATATTTTAATCACTGTTATATCGGGATATCAGTACTCACTTCCGCACATCAATACTTATATTATAATGAGGAAAGATTTGATTGTTTGAATTGAATAGGCTCCGAAACTACTTGACGGATTTGAAAAATTCATTCACCGTTGGGAAGTAAGACTCTTTCTCTCACATAGGCTATATACATATATAAGGTTAGGGATCCTTACTAAAACGCCAATAGTGTGCGCTGCGAATACCATACCATTGATTATAGAACATAATTTTGTACTAGGAACATACATATAATCTACAAAAAATGTCGCGACAGCTTTGCTTTTATTAAAAAAAAAATAATAATTAAGATGCTACGTCTGTAAAAGCTCTTTATTTGTGTCTTAGTAATAATCCTTTGGGTCCCGGGAGGGGAGTGAATGTCATGAAATAAAGTGCAGCGCGACTCACTCGACCAGTCCGAACGAAGCGGTCATGTGCGGAATTGAATATAAATAACATTAAAAGTTCGATATTCACATCTCATCGTCTATGGTATATGGGGAAGTCACTAATGATATAAGATATTAAATATGATTGTAATCCAATAATAGCTTTATTGAATAGCGAATTGATTTAAAACATCCTTTGATATTAAATTTTGCCAACACTTGAAAAATTTGTTCGCCGTGCAAATAACACCATTGGTAACCCCTACTTGGTTTCTTATAAAGTTTTATTTTAGCTTCACCTGTATGTTTGTAAATTTTTTCAGTGGCACTTAAACCAGAGAACTTAAAACAAGTTAAGTTCTCTGCTTAAACACCAGTAATGTATTTGAGCAGCACTGTGAAAACAGTTTGGGAAGCACTACAAAAAAAAAATGTCCCTAAAACTATGCAAAGTAGAACTAAAAGCAGAGAATGTTAAAAGGGGGAATATTGGCAGAGAATGTTGATGAATAGAGAAGGAGCAGAGAACGTAAATGAATCACTCATCAACATTCTCTGGTAAAAACTCCAGCATTTACATACATACCTACATATGGGCGTTACCTGGCTTATATGCTAATTGAGCAAAGAATAATAATAAAACAGTGGCTAAAGCAACCGCGTTCCCACTTTCGAAATTGCATGGCTGGTAAGCTAGAAATCCTAAAACCATGAATCTTAAATTTTATTCCCCCTTTTATTTTATTAATTGGGATCTTTGCAAATCTCAATTCAGTTACTTTAAAAGCATATTTTATATGCCTCATATGTGCATTAAATGTTCCTTATTAATGCGTATATATGTATGTAGTATGCTTACCTCTCCTTGACCTGCACAAACAAAGCACTAAGCTCTAAACTTTTATGCGAGAATTATTTTAAACTAAGCAAATATTATTTATGAATAAAGTCGAAAACGTGTTTCCGGGTATAAGAATCCAAGAGATTTTACTTAAGGTTTAATTTTGAAAAAGACTGTTACAAATATACCGTCAATAAAAAAAATAATGAATTTTATATTTGACATTTTACTCAAAATTACAATAATTATTGTCTTTTTTTATAATTTTGAACACAAGCTTATTTTCAAGAGCACTATGGCGATTTCATCAGGTCTTATGATAAAAACTATGAGGATAATTATGGTTTTAGTAAAAACGTGCTTGGCACCCGGTAAAGGATTTCGTCAAAACCGCTTGGCAACCAATGTGTTGACATAATTGGGTCATAAACTATCCTATTTTTTAAATTTGGATCAAACTAGACACAGTGAGCTATATTTTACTACCCCGGACAAAACGTTACACGTAATTTTTATTTATATAGAAGAAAACTAAAGCATACTTTACTTGTTTTTTTTTATACTCTCGCAACCTGTTGCTACAGAATACTTGTATAATAGTTTTGTTCACCTAACGGTTGTTTGTATCACCTAAAACTAATCGAGTTAGTTATATTGTTATATATATATAAATGATCAGGATGAAGAGACGAGTTGAAATCCGGGTTACTGTCTGTTCGTCCGTCCGTCCGTGCAAGCTCTAACTTGAGTAAAAATTGAGATATCTTTATGAAACTTGGTAGGCATGTTTCTTGGTACCGTGAGACGGTTGGTATTGCAGATGGGCGTAATCGGACCACAGCCACGCGTGGCACAGCTCACTTTTAGGTGAAAACCCATATCTTGGGATCTGCTTATCCGATTTCAACTAAATTCGGTGCAAAACGTTCTTTTCATATTTCTATGTTATAGTGCGAAATCGGACTACAACCACGCTTATTTCCCATATAACACATTTTCAATTCCATCTGACTCTTTCACTTTCCACTATGCATATCAAGCAACAATAATTATATCGGGGTAAAACTTTGCGTGAATAATACGTTTAAAGTATGCCAACTTGTGACCAAAAATTGTCTAAATCGAACCAAAACTGTTCAAGCCCCTAAGTACTAACTATGTGGACCCCAATGCCTATAGTCGATCTTCTACCGAAAATATCAATAAATCCACAAAGAAATCTCAAACGAGTATACTTTGCGAGAGTATAAAATGTTCAGTTATATCGGAACTTAGCCCTTCCTTTCTTGTTTTTTTTTATATCTAAATTTTAGGAAAATATAACAGTATTAGTAGGAGGATTATTATGGGTTACAATTATGTATACATTTATTTTTAAGAAAATATAACATTAGTTATCTATTCTTCCGAGTTACAAAATTTCAAACACAAAAACTTCTTAAAAGTATAAATTTGAGTGGACAAAACGAAAGCACCCCCATTCTTTGTTAAAAAAAAACATCACCGCGCTACCATAAACCACTACAAACGTTATTGAGACATTTTTTAAGGGGTTGATGACGGCGTTACTGTTCAGTTGCGATTTAACTCTAAATAAAACAGAATAAAAAATATGGCGAGAAATACTTATTCATCCGACTTTAAAAATAAAATAACAAGTGATTTGCAAAACGGTTTATCCCGACATAAAATTACTTAAAAATATTCGGAGAATAGATTAGTGGTGTTGCAATCAATAAAGCAATTTTAAGCAAACTGGCAGTATACGTACTCGGCACAGCGGAAAAAGACAACGAAAAACTAAACCAAGAGACGATTCATTGATCAAAAGGCCAATCCAAATTATCCTCCAGTCTCTTCCAATCAAATACAGAAACAGTTTTGTTTAGCAGTTAGTGCACGAAAAATTAGAAGACGAGCTGTTGAGGCCGGGTTGTTCTGTCGGCGTCCAGTTAGAAAGCCTTTTATTTCAACAAAAAATAGAAAGACAAGACTCGATTTTGCGACAGCTCATCTCGATTTGAGTATTCAGAAATGGAATACAATTTTATTCTCAGACGAATCGACAGAGACTTCCAATCCTAAGCATTGTGTTGCGATCATTAAATATAGTGGTGGTAATGTTATGGTCTGGGGCTGATTCTCTGGACACGGCATTGGACCTATTCATAGAATAAATGGAATAGTGGACCAGTTTGTTTTCACCGACATTATAAAAACGTAATGCTAGCGTATACTGAAAAGGAAATGCCACTAAAATGGAAGTTTCAGCAGGACAATAACCCTAAGCATACCTCTAGGCCTTGTGAAACTTAGTTGCAAAAAAAAACGGAATTGATGTTTTAGACTGGCCGGCGTAAATACTCGAAACAAACCAAAGTAGGGGGTGCTTTAATTTTTTCCAATACTGTACATATATGAATGTATATATTTTGCTTGTTTGTTATAAATTCTTTACTTTAAGTTGAACTAAATAAAAGGGTGTCTATATGTTTACTTGAATCGAAATAGGCATGCAACAACTGTAATAAAAACGAAATCATATAAATTTATATCAATTAATATACGAATGAAGCCACGTATATAAAACGAAAAAAAATTTATTCCATAAGACATCTCGACTGTTCTTGAGGTGTAGAAAAAACTATTGCTCGAATTAATCCGTCTCTAACAGATTCACTTGGATTGCCTACATTGAACATAAATTTAACCCTGTTACAGACCACATCTGGTACGCAAGTGTACATTGGATACCACCCAACTTTGTTGAAAACTACATACACCTTATATATTAAATTTCGATATACATAAACTGGCCGGTCAAACGTTATTTCTAGCAATGAATCATATCTAACACGTGACGTACAGTGTGTGTACGTAAGTCTTGATCCTTGGATATCTTGAATATGTGCATAAAGAATTTCCGTATATCTCTCGGAAAAACCAGCCGAATTCATTAGCTCTCCACAAAGGACCTGAGTTGGCACTTGAACCCCTGTATATATAGTATTGTTAACAGTATTTAAAAATATGCATTATTAATTTAACAAACCTGTTATCCATATATTACTATCCACTTGAAATGTTAGTCCGCAATCGGTAACACTAGTATTTCTATAGTCAAATTGCTGATTTAGCGTTCGAACGCAGTATGAACGTCGAGTGTCGTTTGTAGTTAAATCAGAGTCATGACAGCCTTGAAAAGTACTTACATTATTCGAAGATGCCTGAGGAGTAGTTGTTACAATAGATGCGGTATTCCCTGTGAAAGTTTCAAATGGAGCAAATACTGCTGGACCACTTGATGGGGTGGGCCGATGGTATGATGGTAAATCTCGTTGGCTTCGCGATTCATAATATTCCCGGCTTGTTCTCGAGCTGCAGAAACCTTCGGGCATTGGACAATCATTAATAGTTGGACTTGAAATTTTAATAAGAATTGCTAGAGCTTCATTCTGCTTGAGAAGCTTTGAACGCGCAGGACCTTCAGCAAATTGCTGAGGTGTGAGTGTAAGAAAACGTATCTTCTGAACCGCTTGGCGTATAAGTCTTTCATCAATTTCATTATTTGAACAAGAAAATGACCCAATCATACTTATGTCTGTCGGTGCAGCATTTTTATGCCTATTTTTTTCTTCATACGTAGTGGAAGTATCATTTTCTACAACAACCACGTCTTCCACTAAATGCGACGTATCAGAGTTTTCTTGTCGACTCTGAACAAGACTGGTATCGTCTGGCTCCATTTTAATCTCTACAACTTCGGATGCGTTATCTAAATCAAAAGAGTGTTGCAATGCTCCCTTATCTAACGATGAGGATGGCGCTATCGGCATTCCTTCATTTTCAACAAAAAGTGCGCGCTCAGAAGCATATTTTACTAAAGCATTAAAAAGTTCCAACTCAGACGTAACATTCAATCGGTCTTGATCAAGAATAGCCATTAATGTTGATATTTCTATATCAACAAAACTGGGATCAGCTAGCACATCGCGTGTATTGGCTGCTATAATCTAAAAAATAAATATAAGTACATATGATATAATAAAAATTTATATTACTTACACTCATACTACTCTGCATTAAACGTGGTTCGTCAAATAATTTAGCAAATTCATATGCACGGCAAGCATTTTTGGGACTTAAATCTGCCCAGAGAAAATGCGTGCACTGCTCTACTACATAAGGCAGCATATACTTCTTTGCAACGTAACACAACTCACAGGCCTTATCGAAGGAGCTTATGCTAATGCGATCTGAATATATATACTCCAACATTGCTTGAAAAGCATCGGGCTGTACATCAGGTATTAAAATAGGATCACTCTCATCGGGGAGGTTACCATAGAACATTCGTTCAAAAACAGGTGAAGACATGGCTAATATTAGTTTGTGTCCACAAAGTATGCGTTGATTTGGGGAAGCCCCAACAAGAAATTTACAATCAGACCACTTTTCCGACTGCAGTAAATAAAGTCCTCGCTCTTTTATTTGCTGAAAACCATTTTGCCAGTCCAACTCCATTTTTTTTAATCCTTCAATTAAATAAATATCACAACTCTGTATATTTACACAAATTAAAAAATAGATACCGTATTGCCATATCAATGAAATAGTTTGTATATAATAATAAATTAATCGCAATATAATACCTCGTTTACAAAAGGTAAAATGGAGTCATGTCAATTATACATTTACAATACAATTTTTTTGTAAAATGCGTTTATAGTGCCGCATTTCTGATATTTTTGAACTTTAATGCAAAATATATTGAAATTTCACTTGCGTGAGAAGTTAAATTATACAGTTCTATTAATTAAAGAATTCCATGTACAATTCATTTCGAAAATTACCTTTTCATTTACCAGCAACTACCGAACTTAGTTTCGGAACAGCAATTGATTATAAAAATATAGTGGCTTTTTAAAAGTAGTGTTGCTGATCAAGGATCATGGCTTTCGGGTCACCGTAAAACTCTTAAAAATATTCCAAGTTAGATATTACAAAATATAAGCATAGGGCCTCGGTATAAATTTACTGAAAACATTACATTTTTATGATATTTCATACAAAGGAATCACAAATCTCCATGCAGTATGTATTTGAATTTTAATTTTAAAAATTTTTTAATTTAAAAATTCGCAACCCTGCCGCTAGGTAACCGTATACCAAAATATACATTACGCATATATTTTAATTTGTATTTATTTAAGTACGTTTCCAATAATAATTTACTAAAATTGATCTCCAAAAAAGTCAATGTTTTTTAAAAATTTTATGAACTTAATTTTTCCAACTTCGTTTCATAGATTGTAATAATTGTGCTTAACGCAGCATTGTTGTTACTGTTGTTGTTGTATCGGTTATCTAATTCCCGCTTGGGTGTCAAGTTTCAGTTTGGGTGGCAAGTTCAGTTTGGGAGGCCCAGCGAGCTGTTTCGACGGGGTCGGACCATAGGGAAGAGGGTGTTAGATGTGGGGTTTGTTTAGCATGCAAAGAGGTGTTAGAGCCGATTCTGGACAAGTAGTTTAGTAGATGGAGTTTACCCTGCTACAGTATCCAGAACGAAGTTGCGCAAGGGTCACTCTAGATTCTCGTGGCAACTCGAGTTCCTCGTCTGCGATGGGTGGTGGTTTGACTCCAAGTACGCCATTCGATGTTCTTGGGAGGCGGTTCCGCTTCAAGCAGAAAACTGCAAGGGTAGTTTCTGCGGAAACAATCCAGCAGAAACTGCTGGAAAGGAACTCGTTATGTTCCTTAACCGGAAGTATATGGGCCTCACTGTGTAGGTGTTCGATTAGGGACATCAAGAGGCGTGATAGTCCGGAGTGCAGTGTTCTGACTATCTGGGGCTTCTTCGTCTGCGTTGTAACATTCAGGCGACCATACTGTTGCAGGGAGCTTAAGACCGGCGGGCCGATTGCCTTGTAACTTGCCAGCAACGTTTTTTGTCTTTCCCCCATAAGCTGCCGGCAAGCGATTTGAGAATTTTATTGCGGCTCTGTACTTTGGCAGTTAACACCAAAAATTTTAGGGTTATTGACTGGTATGAAGCAAACAGTAGCACCAGCGATAGCCTTGCGGAATTGACGCTCGCCAACGACGACGTCCGTAAGAATGGTTAGTGCAGTGAATATTCTCTCGATAAATTCTGTAAAGCTGACCCAGTTAGCTTTGTTAAAGTTAACAAAGGTGTGGTTGTCCACAGAAATAAAGTCGATCGAGATAATTATAGGCAGATAGTCCCATTCGAGAGTTAGCATAGGTCGCCTGGTTATGCTATTTATCCGACCACCGCTAGTGATTGTAATATCTGGCGTGCTATTACGGGTGCCCATAATTCTGGGGGGCTGTTCCACCAGCTCCATCCCCTACGATCGTTTGACAGGCAGGAGTGCCAAAGGATGGAGCCTTTTTGCGCAAATACAGCAGAAGAGTTTCGAGGGGCTTGGGTTGGACTCGATGCCAGCACGGGTCAGGATTACACAGCAACCCTGCTACTAGGTGTTGCTCTAAGTACGACAAACTTAGACTAAAACTTATCGATCCAACAGGGTTAGATCGCCAAAATTAGCCCTGCATTGTTATAAGTTGGAAGTTATAAACTTTCGGTGTCAAACTTTAGTACGCCATTTATTTAAATTCTGAAATCTTGTGCTGCTAGACATTTATAATTCATATCCTATTAACAATCAATTTTATATCTGCATATAACTACATCTATGATGATTAGTTGGACAAATTCTAAACAAAAAAGCTTGGCACGTTAGGTAGTAAAAAGAGGAATAAATACCATACAAGGTTTTTAAAGAGAAAATAAAAAGTCAAGTTTAAACAATTTTTACTTATCCAGATTATCTTGTGTTTCCAATTGGCGATCAGTAGCTGTATATAATAGTTCAGAATTAGTGATTTTACTAGTTTATTGCAATTTAGAGCTCTGCACTCATATATTTAATATATTTTATCACAATGTAAAATTTGGTTAACTCTAGCATATACTTAATTTTAATTTTAGCATTTTTTTTTTTTTAATAAAGAATTAAAGAAAAACTGGGTTCGGATGCAAACGAAAATTTTATACGCTCGCAAATTGCAGGGCAGGGTAAGTTTCAGGTTGTAGCAAAACATTAAACTAAACTATACTTGCGAACATGTTTCCACACAATTTTATTAATATAACTACACCATTGATATACCTACTATACATATATGATATGACATATTTGGCATAACGTTCGCTAGCATATCGATCTGTATAGGTAGTAAACGGAGGCTAGAATAAGGCTTGGACGATTTCACTAATTTTCCGCAACAAACTATAAATATCCAAAAGTAGATATAATACAAATACAATATAAAACGTGAATTGTGAAAATCCTTATACTACAATATATTAGATATTTGGTGGCTATGGGAATTCGAGATTATTAAAATCTCAGATTAAGGATCTGGATGTCAAATCATTTTGTCACCTTGATGATATTGATATACATATGTAACTCTGTTAGTTTTAAACGTTAAAAGAAATCGTAAGGAAGAAAACAATAGCACAATAGAAAAATAATTATACGCTGTGCAACATGTTGCGAGAGTATAAATAATCAATGTACAGGTTTGTTACAATTTAGACTTAATTGCAAAAATAGTTCTAAAACGTGATGTAACATGAAAACACTTTTATCAAAACTTAATTTACAAGTCGCTCATTTTCGCTAAATATGTATTCGTAGTTTTCAATAATTAATTTAGTTAATGTATTCATTCGTCCGATGTCACCAAATACAATTTGTTCTGATGTAAAAATGCATGGACCCCATACAATTGCTAAGTTAGATGCAGGCATCCGGTTTTCTTTACTAAAGGCGGCAACACTGAAAACAGAAAAATATAATATAAGTTGTAAATCTTTCCCCATAAGTATTTTAAAATTACTTCTTTAAATGCCGTATAAGAAATTTTAATGTTGCACGATTAGGATCAGGTATTTCCTCAAGCGTATTTTTCAATACTTCAATACCAACAGTCTCAAGAAAATTACGTCCGAGTTGATCATATATATGTTGAGGGATCAAAGGGTTGCTCAATTCTCGAAAGAATTGTTTTAATAAACTGGTAATAGTATGTATATCATCAGCAACCAAAAGATTTGAATTGTATGCGTAGCTTTCGGATAGCTTTTTCTTCAATTCATCAATAGCTACTTTGTTGCCAGAAGCACGATATAATCCATCTTGTAATATCGAGTTTTTACGTTCGATATAAGCTACACAGTCCACAATAAAACGTGGAACATGATGAACAACTTCACTCATTTCTAATTTTTCAAGTGGTGCTCCGAAAATTGGAAACTCGGGTTGCGCATCTGTTTCCAAATATAAACTTTCCGTTTTTCCAAAATGAATGACGTCATTTTGTTTCTTCTCGCTTTTTGGTGAACGTACATTTCTATAACATAATAAATAACATTATAATAAAAAGTAAAAATAATAATAACTCTAACTGGATTCTAAAATCCTGCGATCTGAAATAAATTATCTAATATTGATCTTGTTGAATGTCCGTATTTTTTATTGATTAGAATAGTTAAAAATAAAATTAGGGTCCACTCTTCAAAAAGGTCAAATCGAGAATAATTAAAAAGGCAAACGAAATCTTTCAAATACTGGATTTAAATTCTTAATTTTTGAAACCAAAGCACGCTAAAGGTTTTCTAAAATAATAGATACATTGTTTCGTAAAGCAATGTACAGATATTTTGATTTAGCTGCGTATTATTCAAATATTAGGTTGTGTTACTTCGGAGCGTGCTCCCTCTTACATTTTCATTAGAAACCACATTTTCATTGGTAGAAATCTTTGAAAAATGCATTTTTGTATCGTAAAAACTAAACAAAATGGTATATAAGTGGTAATATAAGTTAAAACATAAATGGCCATTCTGATGTGGAGGCAGAAATGCGAATTTTCGAGCCTTTTCCAATCGATTAAAGTATTATAAAGCTTAACATTTTCCGTGAGTATACTTACAGTTTAAAGACGCTTCTTGGAACTGTTTGAGAAATGAGAAAGAAATTGAATAGGTTAAAAGACACATTTAAAAAACGTATTTATTTAATATTTAAAGATGACAGTAAAAACATTATTATTTTATATTTTTATGCATATATAGGATGAAAGCTTATCGCGAATGAGTTAATAAACAAATTTATTCTACGGGAAACGAAGACTAAAAATTTCTTTTCGCTTCAAAGATAATTATGTTCTAGCAAAACTCGATTTTAGTTGCAACAGAAGGAATACACTGATTATAACGGTCATATCCATTGATTTATGGCGTTGGCAGTTTTTTTTCAAATTAGGCCGCCTTCCGCCATATCGTCCTTCAGACGTTCCAATGGCGTTTTTATTTATTTGTATTTGTTTTGATGTTTTTTATGATTGAGCTACAACAAACAATGTCCACAATCTTTGAAATGTGGCCGTTTTCGGTTGATTGCGTGCTCGTGTGGCTCCTTGGCATCACTTCATTTTACGGCTATGATAACCCATTCCGTGGATTCTTCTATTTATTAAACATTCTTGTGGCGCCCTGTCTTAGAAGCGATAAGAACTTTTCAGTCTGCTTGATACGATTTGTTGTTATAAGTATAAATTATATATGTACACGCATGGACAACAGAGTAATGCATATACTCACATTTACTACGCACACGTTCTGTAATTGTTTTTTTGTCATCCACACTTGGTATATCCAAAATATTACCGGACGAAACACTTTTAATAAGCTGGGGAGCAAATAGTTTTGGGGTTGAACTCTCATATTCGGCATTACCTTTAAAGGCCTGGGACCGCAAAAGCTCTTTCTCCGACACGAACTATTAAATACAGTTAATAAGCAGTTAAGTTAACTACATACATACATATGAAATTAGAATAATCAATTTAAAGCTAATAGAAAAAAAATCATTCATTAAAATTTACAGCCATTCCTAACTGACGCGCCAATGGCCAAAAGACTATAGGAACCCGTAATAATGTGGCACTGTTCTGGGTTCTGAGCACGGCACTGACCATTTCGACTTTAATATTAACAACACACAACCTACCTGCTTATTAAAAATAACATATTTCTAATAAATCTTCTCAAATTCATTTAAAATAGACGAAATTGAACCATAACGATGCTCATGATATTCTTCAGACAATATTTCAAGCACTGTAAGGAATAGTATTTCTCAAAAAGAAAAAAATTGGTCTATAATGACTTCTACCACATTTACAGGAATTGCAATAGGTATTCTAATAGTAAGAAATACAACAAATAATACGTAATACTTCAAACAGTTCTATTATGACAACAACTTTCACACTAGTTTGAACATTTGAACAATATTTTAATTACTCTACTAACCTTTAGGAAAGAGGTTGTGTTTGAATTGAGTGTTTTTTGTTCAAACTATTACCTGATATATCTTTATTAAGAGATCAAATTTTAAAATCCATTCTATGCCATTAGCTTATTCTAAATGCTTTGTGATGTAATTTTTTGATATTAAAATCGCGTCGCCCATTTCTTTTTTATATTTTCAAATTGCGATATCATCAGTGACTTTTACTTGGAATTTTTGTAATAGTAGACCTAGATGAAATGAAGTAACTCATTGTTGCTAATAACTATCTAACTGTACGAGGTAAGAGTGTCCTTTCAAATTAGGTGTAACATAACCTTCAACATTGACGTAATCAGATAAAGCCGCTTCGTTATGATCCAAAATATAGAAACGAAGACGATTATTAATACTATATTATGTATGTGAACCCTACCCAATTTGAATTAGGAAAATTAAATATAAATAGCCTACAATCGAACTTTTACAACTTAAAATAAAATGATAGTACATTGACGTCTGAGAACACAGTTTTTCAAACTTAAATACGAACCACATATTTGCACAACATATTAATAGCTTATTTTTACTTACCATGTCATCTTCATCTTCAATATTGGATATATTTAATAGGTTCAGCTTCCACGCATTTACTGGACTCAAACTAGAGTCTGTGGCAGGTTCATTATTTGCACATGTTCTGTTCGTTAATGATGATGGAAATGCTATGTTTTGTTGATGATTAATTGATGTCGGTGACCAATTAAAAGTAGATGTAGTTATAGGTTTCAATTTTCCGTTTGCCTTATTGTGAGAAAGCAAGTTTGCATTTTTATTTTTTGCAAAATAATGCGAAGATTGGTTGTATGTGTAATCATATACGATTGCACGAATTTTAGGCTCCTTTAAGCTAAAAAAAATGCACACTGTACGGAAAATGGGATGTAGAAAATTTGAGTTTGATGATGCAGTAATGATGTCAGCACTCGAAGCACTTGTGATTGTACTATTGCTCTGAGAAGTAGTGTTCTGTGATATTATGTCGCCTGCTCCGCAGTATTCATCAAACTGTTTTGAAAACATAAACTCGTCATCGGTCTCCCAATCTCCATGATCTTCCCCATTATCAGATATAACAAGATATGGAATTGATGAATCATTTGACATCCGTTGTTTCCTTTTGTGCAAATACCTCGAATTACCAGTTCGATTACTCAAGTTATAGTATTCAGGATCACTATCGTAAAGAGCCTCTCCAACGGTTTGAAACTTCCAAATGGGCTGGTAAATGTTTTCTTCCCTTGATATTTTAAATTCTTCTTCAGTATAAGATGAATTATTTTTTTCATCAGAAGGGCTAGGATTATTTAAAATTTTGGTCCCAGTTTTCAAATCAATATCTGCATTTTTATTATAATCATAATTATTTACTTTAACTACATTTTCATCAAGATCCAAATATTTCCCTTGAGCTTTTTTACTTCTTTCCAATGATTCTTTAGTTTTTGTACGTAGAACTACTTCGTCATTCATACATTTATTTGTACCCATATTTTGTCTGGCAATTAATTGTGCGCTCTCATTCTCATTAACAATAAAGTCGCTCCCCAAACTACTACTTTGAAAAGCCATTGGAATAAATTTCGTAACTTGTTCGCTCACTGTACTGTCAATTGGTGCTTCACCATAAATGTTCTCTCCTTGTTTATCATGTTTCCATAAACTTCTATGCCGCTTTACTGACTCATTCAGTACAGCCCATAATTTAAATGATATTTTAAAGCTATTATAATTAGCCAGCACCTTTAAAGCACGTTTAACATTGAAGCTCCACGGGTTGAAATTGTAAAGCAGCCAATCTTGAAACCAATTAAAGTACTGCAATCGATTAGAACACAAATGCAAGACGTTTGTATTAAGGCTATACGATATTAACACATTGTTAATTAAACTCACAAAATTAAACTGGTTGATTTTTGGATTTTGATGGCTCACTTCGTATATTTCGTGCGAATTATTGCAAAAATTGCCTATAATATCGAAAAAATAACCGTTTATTTGTTTGGTGTGCTGCCCGTGTGCATTGTTGTATGTAGTGATCATTTCCGATTTGTCTATATCATTTTTTTCAAATTTTTTTTTGATAATTTCGTTTTTAGTTTTTTCTGATACCCCTCCACCACATAGACAACCACAATGATTGCACTTGCTTTTGATCACATTGCAAGTTGAAAAGCAACTAGTTCGACCTTTGTCGGTGGTAACTGTTGAGAGCGGTTGATAATTCATTACCGCAATCGGACTGTGTTCGGAGGGCCATTGGGTTCGCTGCAGTGATGATCGTGCTACGTAGTTTGCTTCTGATAATGTATTGAGCGAATAGTTGGAATGCTCAACAGATGTTTGATACTCTCTCTGTTTATAAACCATAAATTTTTCCATGAGATTTTGCTTAAATACATCAACCATTGCCTCAAAACGATTCTCAATTTGCTTACTAACATGAATATGACTTATTTTATTTGTGAATGTAGTATTTTCTTCTTCTACGTTTTTATCAGTGCCTGTCAAATTAGTCATTCCTATTTCTAAATAGCGAGGGGAAACAAAATTGTTCTTTTCATAACTTGAAGCAGCATCGCAGTATGTGTGTATCAACACGCTTCTTGATGGAAGGCTCTTAGGAATACATAAAGCATAATCGCCATCATCAAATGATGTACCATAAATGTGATAATTATGAACTTGTAGACGAAGCAATTTCACCCAATAACAAACGCTTTCAGACAGAGGGGTGTGAAGCGTTTTATGATCTGGTGTATTAAAAGGACGAGTTGAAATTTTTTTTAGAATTTTGTGTGATTTTGATCGTTTCCTTGAAGCTAATGAACATTCAATAGAACTTTTGGTGTAAACGAAATCTGGATCTTCCTTTAGCAATTCATGCGATTTAGCTTCAGTATGATTAGAAGTCACTTCTAAAGGAATTTTACCAATAAAATGTTCGCGAAATTTTAATCGGCCGTATATATGTTGCTCTCTCCGGAATGCATCGTTGCTAGTTTTCTTTTGTTTAAAATTGAGTATTCTTTGCATATTAAATACTTCATTCGAGGGGGAAACATTAGAGTGTTCTGTGACGTTATAGATTGCCTCTACACGCTTGTGTTTTTTTTTTATACATTCTTGTTTATTCGAATAAAATTGTTTAGACTTTGAACTTTTCTTCAACGACCCCGAAATTCCATCGAAGAGCTTAGGCTTATCCAAATTCTGAAAATACAATGTCTTTTGTTTTTTTTTCATAACTTCAAGTTTTCCTGCTTCCGTTGTTTCCATTAATTTTTCGTTTCTTATACAGAATTCACATTCTTGAGTATTATATAAATTTGAACAAAGGGAACAAATATTTTCATAGATATTCTCCTCAGTGTTCACATGATTTTGATTTCTTTTTCGCGAACTCTGGGATTTTTTATTTTTGGGTCCTTCAACCATACGTATACAAAAGTCACACAAATAATTTTTCCCTTCAAAAATACCATAACCACATCCACGACACAAGTTTTCATAGAAAATATCATTATTTGTCGCTGTTCCAAATAATTTTTTGAATAGTAGTTTTTGGCTTGATAATACGTTATGTTTGATATTTTCGTATATCGGTTGCCTTTTTTCAAACAACTCCGATTTTACGTCATATACCGTAAAACTAAATGCACTTTCGTTTTCAGGGCTTTTGTCTTCATTGAGTCGAGTGTTTTTTTGCGAAACCATTTTACCATACACAGTACTATCATCCTTGTTTTTTGCAAAGTTTGAACAGTTCTCATATATAGTAAAATTCTCTTCTGACATTTTGCATTTCTTTCATTGAAATAAAATTTAGAAAAGCTACTACTTCTCATTAATTTATTAACATTTATTATTGTTCACATTTCCTCCCATGTCTTGTATGTATAATTATTCAAGAAGAATGTTGGAATTAAAATTAATTAAGAGAAATAATTGAATTTATATGCATAAAGGCATGTGCACCAATTCATGTAACTGCATCTGCACTATGTACATATGTACATACATACAAGTATGTATATAAATATGACTTACTCAATTAAGCCGCACCCAAAGCTTTCTTCTAATTAGTGTTTTAACGCGAATATGAACTTGCAATATAGACGCACAATATACGCACAATGTTTCCCGATAAACGGTATTTAATGATTTAACAATCTCGTACTAAGTAGTTTAGTTGTTTAATAATATACAATTTATTATATATTTTGAGTGTATGTATCTACATACATATGTATGTAAGTATTAATAAATATTGCTCTACAAAGAACTTTAGGGAATTTTAAGCGACATTTACAAACTTTTTTTTTACCAAATTCCGAATTTCGTTCGATGGGATGTGTATAATTTGAAAGCGAGAGGTTAACTGAAACGCTTGATCTGAATTTGGCGCCACACTGCAACACCCAGTCTCATTGATGAACTTACAAATATATACAAATTATACGAACAAGTTTCGTTTTCTTTACACTCAAGTAATAATTGTGCAGTGAGAACACTGCAACCATATCAGCGCAAATTTTCTTATTCTTTCGCTTCAATGTTTTTCGCCGTCAATGTTATTATATGCGAGCTCAATCCCGATATCCACTCTTATAAGTGCAAGCATAAGTATGGGTGTATGCAAGAATGATAGAACACAAGATCACGCCCTGAAAGTACCGGTATCTTTATAATCGGAATAGTTTATATTAAGTTTGCCACGAAGTTTGTAACACCCAGAAGGAAACGTCGGAGACCCTATAAAATATATATATAAATGATCAGCATGATGAGCTGAGTTGATTTAGCCATGTCTCGTATCTTCACGAAATTAGGCATGAATTATTGTTTGAGGCAACAACGTAATCTCCGAAGAAATTATATAGATCGGATGACTATATGCTCGTTCGTATATGCTTGTATGAAAAACTCTTTCATTTGACGAGGTATCTACACGAAATTTGGCACAGAATATTATTGTACTTAAAGCAATAGTGCAAGCTCCGAAGAAATTGTACAGATCGGATGACTATAACATATAGCTGCCATATTAACTGAACGATCGGAGTTAAGTGCTTGCATGAAAAACTTCTTCATTTGACGAGGTATCTTACCGAAATTTGGCATGAGTTATTGTATTTTCTAGGGCAAGAATATAATCTCCGAAAAAATTGTTTAGATCGGATCTCTATGTCATACAGCTATCATATAAACTGAACGATCGAAGTAAAATGCCTGCATGGAAAAAAATTTATTTTTTATTGCCGATGCACGAAATTAGATCTGAATCAAGTTATTGTAAGGAAGCTTTGTATCTGTGAAAGGTATTATAGCTTCGGTGCAACCGAAGTTAACGTATTTTCTTGTTTTTGTTTTTAATGGACAACCAGCTGTTCGCGACGTGCTGTTTATTGAGATTCACACTTTTAGTAGTTTACAACATAACCTAGATAGAGAGGTTGGTGGCATGGTTTTCTTCTAATTTCACCAATTTTCACAGTGTTTGAGGAGTAGCTAAAAATACTTGTTCTCATCAAGTGTGATTGATTCAGCTTTAGTAGTTTGTGATATATGTATGTATGTACATTAAACTTATTCGATGGCGAGGCAACGTACACTTTTTAAAAATTTTTAAGCCTCGGATATGCTGTACCAAATAACGGTTTTATATTCTAGTTATATTATCTTATATTCCATATTTTCCTCCCTTATCCCTGTGATGAATATTCGTGTATATCGTTTCGAATGTTATCTATCTATGCATTATTCAGATGATAAAAATATTACTCTCGTTACAAATTGTAAAAATATGTACATATGTAATAATAATTTAAAATTCCTTTCTTCGCTCCAACACAGTTTAAGCGTACTCAACCGCATTACATATGCTTGTAAACGCAAATAAATGTACCATATATATATTTCAATACTAATATTATAAAAAGGACAGATTTGATTGTTTGTTTGAATTGAATAGGTTCGAAAACTACTTGACGGATGACGGAAAAATTCTTTCACCTTTGGAAAGCTATTCTATCTTTGATGTTTGGTGTAACATAGACTATATTATATTTTCAAAAAAGTTAGAGATCCTTACTAAAACGCCAATAATGTAACCTAAGAATTAAAAAATTCCATAGATCGCGTGCGTACTATTGATTGTAGTACAAAATAACGTAATTATGTCTAAATGTTATGGTTTCGTCATAATAGGTGTTCATATATTAAAACAAATTATTGAAATGCCGCCTCTGTATTAATCCTTATCAAAAGTAAATAATTTATATTCAACACTCATTTAATACCTTTATAATTTTTTTTTAATTATTTGATTCGGATATTCCAATCGAAAGATATCACGAATTTAAAAATCTAAGTATTTGAAAAAAGTCGCGTGATCGTTGCTCACCCTGCTCGGCTAGGTTACGACTTAATATACGATTGGTGCAAAGAATGTCAAAAAACAAAGGAAAAGGAGGAACTAATATAAGGACTTTCAAACATCCGGTTGATTTTACACTTTATATTTTGGTCAATGTCAAGGCATCTTAATGGAACTCAGAAGGGATTTTTTGCTAGTATTGTATAATATATCTTAAAAGTCGCCATTAAATGTCATAACGAACAGAAGTAGTAAGTCACAATTTATAACGACATAAAATGGCAAATAAAATCGCGTTGCGTTTGTGTTAATCGATAGCACACTCTAAGAGAAAGAACGACATATACTTATATCTATATGGCGTACATTAAAAAGTTTCAATATCACTGCAGAAATTTGAAACAACTAAAGTTAGGTACCATTTTTATACTTTCGCAACCTGTTGCTACAGAGTATAATAGTTTTGTTCACCTAACGGTTGTTTGTATCACCTAAAACAAATCGAGTTAGATATAGGGTTATATATATAAATGATCAGGATGAAGAGACGGGTTGAAATCCGGGTGACTGTCTGTCCGTCCGTCCGTGCAAGCTCTAACTTGAGTAAAAATTGAGATATCTTTATGAAACTTGGTAGACATGTTTCTTGGTACCGTGGGATGGTTGGTATTGCAGATGGGCGTAATCGGACGACTGCCACGCCCACAAAACGCCATTAATCAAAAACAAATAAATTGCCATAACTAAGCTCCGCAATAAGATATAAGACTGTTATTTGGTACACAGGATCACATTAAGGAGGGGCATCTGTAGTTAAATTTTTTTTTTAAAGTGGGCGTGGTCCCGCCTCTAATAGGTTTAATGTGCATATCTCCTAAACCGCTAATGCTATAATAACAAAATTCACTGGAAGCAAATGTTTTTAGCACTTCTATTGACGGTGTGAAAATAGTTGAAATCGGGTGGCAACTCCGCCCACTCCCCATATAACGGTACTGTTAAAAACTACTAAAAGCGCGATAAATCAAGCACTAAACACGCCAGAGACATTAAATTTTATCTCTGGGATGGTATGAGATGACTTTATAGGAACCGCGTTCAAAATTAGACAGTGGGCGTGGCACAGCCCACTTTTAGGTGAAAACCCATATCTTGAGATCTGCTTAACCGATTTCAACCAAATTCGGTGCATAACGTTCTTTTCACGTTTCTATGTCATAGTGCGAAATGGCCACGCCTACTTCCCATATAACACCATTTTAAATTCCATCTGATTCTTTCACTTTTCACGATGCAAATCAGGCAACAATGACTTGTGGTCAAAAATTGTCTAAATCGAACCAAAACTGTTTAAGCCCCTAAGTACTAAATATGTGAACCCCAGTGCCTATAGTTGACTTTCTACCGAAAATATCAGTCAATCCACAAAGAAATCTTAAACGAGTATACTATTTGACTTTGCGAGAGTATAAAATGTTCGGTTACATCCGAACTTAGCCCTTCCTTACTTGTTTTTTTTTTGTTTTTATTGCTACTTTTTTTTGTTTATACTCAAATATATATTTAGGAGAGAAATTCGATTCGTGGAATATATTGGTTTACAGAATTGAAAGTGTGGAATACGCATATGTACTGTGATTGTTTGCATTAATGCGTTAGATTGTAATTGTTTTGATAATATTTGACCGAATTCTAAATTATTTTCTACAATGTATTTATAGATAAAATTAAATACTCGTATTAACTGCAATGCATGTTGGATACATTACCTTTATATTGCCATCGATAAAAAAACGTAAAATAATATTTTAAAGAAAAGAAAATATACCATAATATTTTAAATAAATAAATGTATTTATATATTTTTAAAATTTTTCTTTTCCTATTGGGTTACAAGGACATTCACCTTGATACCATATCGAATTGTTCCCATTTCTGCTTTATGATTTGGTAACGAATAAGTTTGCGTAATATCAATCGTTGTCTGATTCTCAATAATCCTCTTACCTAAATTAATTATTTTTAAACTGTAAAGAAGAAAAGAAAAATTAAGTGTATGCAGTACAAATATATTCATATAACATATTTATTAAAACCTAATTAAATTGATCAAGCGCCAAATTTTTGGTATTATTAAACATTCTTAGGTCCTTTAATCAGAGCTTATGCGATGACAGAACTCAATGTCCGGTTAGCCATCAATTCTTAATTAAAATATGTTCAAATTTATCAACATTGTTTTCCGTTTAAAACACATAGTTGAAGTTGACAAATGTATTAATTGTCTCGTACGTTTTATGGGAATGAGTTCATTTCAACACTAAACTTTAGATAGTCATCTTATTAGTGTATTTAGTATTAGACATATTATCGACAGAGCTGAAGTTGTTGATTATACATCATCTTGCGCACATTTAAAACATTTAAAATCTCATATACTCCATCCTCGCAAAACGATCTGCTGTGTTACTTGGTTAAATAATTATAAGCTAATAAAGCTTATTAACTCTAAAATAAAATTTCGAAAATGTTCATACATATTTTTGAGTAGATAACTGAATTCTCATACACTAAAACTTTTCCACTAAAAGTAAGGAATGTAATAAATTTGATTTCGTGTTTAAGGAACGACCTGAAATTTAAATATTATATAATGGCAGCAATGGATTCAATTTTAATTCAACTGCAATTAATAAATTACACATTAATTTAATGACATGTTTTCTAATGTGGAAAACAAAGTGATGTACTAGTATTTTAGAGTAAACTGAGTAACTTTTTACGCTGCTGCTTACTCTGCTCTATTAGATAAATGTTCGCGTATAAAAGTGTTTTTATCGACGAAATACGTTTTTTTAGATAAAATGGCAATAAATAGCGTTTATAAGAAAAAGCTAAATTAGTAATCGATCGAGTTAAGCCAATAAATTTATTTTATCATAGAAAAGTGCCATCAAGTTTAAGCCCAGAGTGTTCTTTAACAGAGTATCCAATATCAGATGAATTCTTGACATACAGCCACCAGGCTTATATACTATTTATACTACTACCTATTGCAAAAACGCACTACTCCTTATATACCTCTACCATGAAATGTTGTGTAATTTTAAAATATCTCTCATAAAACTTTGATCTGTAATTATCTCGACTAAAACCTTCGAAGGCTTATTGAATACAAAAATTGTTAACGCACATACTTAAAAAACTAAAAGATAACTGTCATAGTTTTCTAATTAAAGGAAATGGCTAAATTCGCCACAAAATCGATGATGTGAAAATGATTATAAACTATATAGTACGGTATAATACAATCAAAAAGTTAAAAACGAATGAACGTTAATTTCAT